TCATAAACAAGTAAAATAAATTCCTTCAATGCGGGCTATATTTTAAATTCCTTAAACTCTTAATCTTGAAACTTTCAAGATTTGAAATCTTGAGATCTTAAAATCTTGAATTCCGAAAGTCGCCAAATCTGAAAATCTCCGAAAAATAAAATCTTAAAGCCTTCGAAATCTGATAATAGATGGAAAATGGCTGGGCAATGGCCTGGCTGTTGTAACCTTCAAAAACTTTAAATCTTTGACTCTTAAAACCTTAATTCTGAAACCATTGAAACCTTAAATTCCGACAGTCTTCAAATCTGAGACCCTTAGAATCTCAAAGTTTTTAGAATCTGAAAATCTTAACCTCTACTAATCGGACTTACAGGAAAGGGAAGTGACAGAACGAGCAGGGCAAGGTGCCCGGTGGCCGGCTGTGTCGCGCCAGCGTGTAAATCCGGCCACCGGGGACCCCTGACCCCGTGGTCCGTGACATCGCCGAAGGCCTAGGCCCTCAGGGCCTACCTTCAGGTATAAGGCCGTCCGCCCCATGCCGCCGACCCACCGCCGAACTTTTGCGCTGCGCCAAGCTGGGCCCACCCTTATAAGGGGCGAAGGATTTGCGGATTTGCTCAGGCGATTTTTGGCGGCTTTTTGAGCATCTCCCCACGGAGTCAAAAAACGAGTGTTTTTTGGGGGGTCCCCATGGTGGACAACATCCCCGGCATCACCTGCATCATCCGCATCCTTGGCGGACATTAGTGCGGATGATGCCGGTGATGCGGGGGATGCTGGGGATGTTGTCCCCGAAGTCGGGCCAACTTTGCCGAAAACGTGCAACCTGAAAATCTTAAAATCTTAAAGTGGATGGAAAATGGATGGAAAATGGCCTGGATTGAAATCTCAAAATCCTAAAGTCTTAGATTCTTAAAATCTTAAATTAAAATCTAACAATCAATCTTAGAATCTCGAGATCTTAAAATCTTCGAACTTAGAATCTTAAAATCTGAAAATATAAAAACATCCTAAAGTCTCGGGGGATGCTGAGGATGTTGTCCCCTAAGTCGGGCCAACTTTGCCGAAAACGTGCAACCTGAAAATCTTAAAATCTTAAAGTGGGCGGAAAATGGATGGAAAATGGCCTGGATTGAAATCTCAAAATCCTAAAGCTTAAAATCTGAAAATATAAAAACATCCTAAAGTCTCGGCGGATGCTGGGGATGTTGTCCCCGAAGTCGGGCCAACTTTGCCGAAAACGTGCAACCTGAAAATCTTAAAATCTTAAAGTGGATGGAAAATGGATGGAAAATGGCCTGGATTGAAATCTCAAAATCCTAAAGTCTTAGATTCTTAAAATCAAATCTAACAATCAATCTTAGAATCTCGAGATCTTAAAATCTTCGAACTTAGAATCTTAAAATCTGAAAATATAAAAACATCCTAAAGTCTCGGGGGATGCTGGGGATGTTGTCCCCTAAGTCGGGCCAACTTTGCCGAAAACGTGCAACCTGAAAATCTTAAAATCTTAAAGTGGATGGAAAATGGATGGAAAATGGCCTGGATTGAAATCTCAAAATCCTAAAGCTTAAAATCTGAAAATATAAAAACATCCTAAAGTCTCGGGGGATGCTGGGGATGTTGTCCCCTAAGTCGGGCCAACTTTGCCGAAAACGTGCAACCTGAAAATCTTAAAATCTTAAAGTGGATGGAAAATGGATGGAAAATGGCCTGGATTGAAATCTCAAAACCCTAAAGTCTTAGATTCTTAAAAGCAAAAATTAAAGTCTAACAATCAATCTTAAAATATGAAACTCCTACAGTCTTAAACTCTTACTCTTGAAATTTGGAATTCTTGAAACCTCAAGACCTTAAACTTACAACCTTAGAAGATCGAATCTTACAATCTGAAAATATAAACATCCTAAAGTCTTCGAATCTTGACTTCTTAAAACCCGAATATCTTTGAATCTTCAGATACTAAAATCTAAAAATATGAACTTCCTAAATTCTCAAAGTCTTAAAATTTCAGAATCTGGAAAGCTTTCAAAACTTAAATTCTTTAATTCTCGAACTATTGCAATCTGAAAATCTTAACTTCATAAACAAGTAAAATATAATAAAATTCCTTCAATCCGGGCTATATTTAAAATTCCTTAAACTCTTAATCTTGAAACTTTGAAGATATGAATTCTTGAGATCTTAAAATCTTAAATTCCGAAAGTCGCCAAATCTGAAAATCTCCGAAAAATAAAATCTTAAAGCCTTCGAAATCTGATAATAGATGGAAAACGGCTGGGCAATGGCCTGGCTGTTATAACCTTCAAAAACTTCAAATCTTTGAATCTTAAAACCTTAATTCTTAAACCATTGAAACCTTAAATTCCGACAGTCTTCAAATCTGAGACCCTTAGAATCTCAAAGTTTTTAGAATCTGAAAATCTTAACATCTACTAATCGGACTTACAGGAAAAGGAAGTGACAGAACGAGCAGGGCAAGGTGCCCGGTGGCCGGCTGTGTCGCGTCAGCGTGTAAATCCGGCCACCGGGGGCCCCTGACCCCGTGGTCCGTGACATCGCCGAAGGCCTAGGCCCGCAGGGCCTGCCTTCAGGTATAAAGCCGTCCGCCCCATGCCGCCGACCCACCGCCGAACTTTTGTGCTGCGCCAAGCTGGGCCCACCCTTATAAGGGGCGAAGGATTTGCGGATTTGTTCAGGCGATTCTTGGCGGCTTTTTGAGCATCTCCCCGCGGAGTCAAAAAACGAGTGTTTTTTGGGGGGTGCCCATAGTGGCATGGTTTTCGCTCAAGACATGAGCAAAACACTGTGTTTTTGACACTTTCGCGTGGGCGCAAGGCCTCGGAAAGCGTTAAAAACATAAGTTTTTTTGCGGAAACCTGCTTCTTGGTGAGGCTTCACTGGCCCCCGCCAAACCCGGCTTTGGAGATTGCATTGCCTACCCCGAAGTGTCTCGAAATAAGAGTGAGTGAGTGAGTGAGTGAGTGAGTGAGTGAGTGAGTGAGTGAGTGAGTGAGTGAGTGAGTGAGCGAGCGAGCGAGCGAGCGAGTGAGTGTGTGTGTGTTGATGAGCGCTCAACTGGAGAAGCCTGAAGCGACCAAGTGCCAGAGGCAGTCCAGATGCACGCACACGCGCGCACACACACATACACATGCCACCGTGCAATCCCTAGATGTCACCAGGCGGTGCCGCGGTTTGAGAGCTCAAGTCTGCGCAGCCTGCGCGTTACTACTGTGCACTACCTGCCATCTTAGTAGATGTTTTTTGCCACACGCTTACGGGCCTGCTTCCTTCCGCAAACGTGCCTCGCGCAAGTTGCCCCGTGCTTCAAACAGATTGCAGTAAACTGAGGCTGCCGGCGCGGCCGGTGGTGCGTCAGCAACGTAAATCCGGGCGCCACGAGCCCGTCGTTTCGCCGGAGGCCTTCGGTTCCCTTAACCGAAGGTTATAAGGCTCGCGCCCCCTGCCGCCAAGCCAAAAAACGAGTGTTTTTGGTGGAGGCCTAATACTGGACAACACCCCCAGCATTGCCAGCATCATCCCAAATGATGCGGATGATGCTATGCATGCTGGCGATGCGAACCAAGGGGCTGAAAATTGGAGAAAGCGAAACCAAGTCGCAGGAAAATGCAAGGGCAGAACGCGAAGGGAACCGGAGGACGGAAACGAAAAGATAATGTTGGAAATTCTGGGAAACGAAGAGCAACTGAAGAGAAATAAAGCGATGCGCAGGAAACTGACGTGAAGTGGGAGGGGAGGTTGAAGTCATGCGAATGAAGGGGCGTTCAAGGAGATGAAGGGAGCTGAAACGGAAGTGAAGCGAAAGGAAGTGAAGGGAATTGCCAGGAAACTCTCGGACACGCAGGAAAAGGAATGATAGAACGAAAAGGGCAAGGTGCCCGGTGGCCGGCTGTGTCGCGTCAGCGTGTAAATCCGGCCTCGCCGTGCAATTTCGCCCAAAGGGGCGCACGCCAAGGCTTTGCCGTCCGACTGACGGTCACTGCCGCCGACCCCTCGCATCGTCTGCATTCCCAGCGCCTTGGTGCATCATCACTACCCGTGCTGCCACTGGAGCTCGAGTTGACGGAGGGCTCAAAACACTGCAAATATGCAGCAACCCGGCTGCAGTGCCAGCATTGCCAACGCTTTCGGAAGCCCCCGTGTTTCGCGCATCGCCTGCGTGCCCTGCGTCGCCCGCAATTGGGGCCATTCTTCCCCAAGCCATTCCTGATCGCGCGCGCGCGTGCGTGCGTGCGTGCGTGCGCGTTGGTGGGCGTGCGCGCGTGCGTGCGTGCGCGCGCGCTCGCGTGCGTGCGTGCGGGCGTGCGCTTTGTGGGGGGCGCGCGGCGGGGGGGAGGCGCACGGGCATGCGGGTGCTGTGCGTGTGTGTGTGCCATGGGGGTGCGTGCGTGCGTGCGTGCGTGTGTGCGTGCGTGCGTGCGTGCGCACGCGCGCGTGGGTGGGTGGGTGGGTGGGTGGGTGGGTGGGTGGGTGGGTGGGTGGGTGGGTGGGTGGGTGGGTGGGTGGGTGGGTGGGTGGGTGGGTGGGTGGGTGGGTGGGGTGGGTGGTGTGTGTGTGTGTGTGTGTCTGTGTGTGTGTGTGTGTGTGTGTCTGTGTGTGTGTCTGTGTGTGTGTCTGTCTGTGTGTCTGTGTGTGTGTGTCTGCGTGTGTGTCTGTGTGTGTGTGTGTGTCCGTGTGTGTGTGTGTCTGCGTGTGTGTCTGTGTGTGTGTGTCTGTGTGTGTGTGTCTGTGTGTGTGTGTCTGTGTGTGTGCGTGTGCGCCATCCCATCCATTCCTCCATCCCATGTATCCTTGCTTCCCCACGGACCCACCCATCCATCCACCCACCCACCCGCCCACCATCCATCCCCCTCCCTCCCTCCCTCTCTCCCTCTCTCCCTCTTATGCCATCCATCGCGTCCATCCATCCAGCCCGCGAGGCGGACATGCCAGGCCAGCGCGCGGAGCATAAAAATAAAATCACCAGAAGAAAGTACTTGGTACGGCGCCACACTCTTCTTCATCACGATGGACGATTTTTAACCTGCGGCGCAACAGCAACATTCACAGGCAGCCGGTAGACATGCCATTGCTAGCAACTGTAGAAGAATTAGAGAGGGTTTCCACATGCTATCACATCACCCGTTAGTACACGCGCCCGCTGCGCCGCTTGGTCGGAGTTCGTGGCTTGCTGTCACATCCGTGTCGTAAGGAAGACTTAGTGGTTTGCCCAGCAATTCTAAATACAATTACAGAGTTTGTCTCAGCAGGCAGCATAAGTAGGGACTGATGAGGGGAAAAATGTCCAGAGCATCCATACAATGTTTGTCAAAGCAACTTATGCTAAAATCTGAATAACCTCTAAGTTGTTGTTTATGATGCGACTTAATAATTTTAGGCACGTTCTTTCATATTACTTTTTCCCATCTTCTAAGTAGGTTCATCTTCTACAGTCTCTACAACCTTGCTAGTGTCATTGTTCCTGTTTCTTTTTGGGTTTGTAGCGTTTTAGTGTCATTGCTAGGCAGTGAGTTGTATGTGTAGGATACCTTAGGATACTTAAAGTTTTTCATTCGTGCTTACACTGCTTAACGCTTGTTGGTGGTTTTAGTTTTCAAGCGCTTAGGCTGCCACACTCTGCTATATGTGCGTGTGTTCACATTCTATGATTTCTAATCTGTTCTTTGCATAGCGCGCTTTGCGCTTTTCCTTTTCTATATGTCTGCTATCTTCCAGGTAAGACTTCATCTTAGCTGGGTCACGTTTCTAACAACCTCTTTGCCTGATAAAAACTCTTCCATTTGTTTTTCAACGTGTGTTCTCCTACTTTGCGTTGTGTTGCTTTTTTGCTCTCTTCGTATTGTTGCAGTTGTTCGATAACCTTGTCTTTCTGTCATCATTGACCGCTTGTTCTTCCTGCTCTTTCTGTGTCTAACGTCCCCATCCGCACTATACATTCATTTTATGTCCTTCTCAGTTGTTCAATAGTTTCAACGGGTCATGCTTCAACTAACTCTCTGTAGAAATTACTATCAGAATCAGCTAATTGTGTCACTCTTTGATATGGTGTTGTATCTTTTTTGGATCGCCGCTCGCGTTGCTCCTGCGATGTAGCCACTATGTTTGACAATGCTTGGCAAGTAGAGCCAGTATATATATATATATACTAGTGTCTGTATCGTTTGGATTTTAGATTTTTGCTTTTGACTAAACCACTGCTAATATCTACTGGTTTCTCAGCCTATTGGTTAAATGCATTTCACATTGGGGGTTTTACTGGCGCTTCGCCTGCTCTTTGCGAATTTCCTGTGTCTGCAAACAACGAGTGTTGGTGATTCGTTAAGGGTAAAAACCTCCTCTACTTGTTGTTACACTACCTCTTGCCCGTTACACTAAGCCACATCAAAATCGAGGGCTTGTGTACTTTCTTTACTCTTGTTAGACATTGACAATACAGGGCCGCACGGTTAAGTTTCTATCAGAGTTATCTTGCACAAGTTGAGCAACGGAACCGCCTTCTGAGTGACCTGCTATAAACTGAACGTTCTGAATCTTGTCATTTTCAATTGCAACCCGACATCAGCGAGTATACCGTTTGCAGCAGCGCCTACCGTGGGCTTCCCACATGCTCCAGCAACATATAGGGTTGCCGGGGGGGGGGTTGCCCGGGTGGGTTGGGAATTGTGCAAATCCTGTGCGAATAGCAGCGAATCGTGGCGTCGGTGGGACCAGAGGAAAGTCTGGAACCTGTGATTCGAATACGCGGCGCTGGCAGGCGCAGCATTCTCATTTGCCCGAAGCAGGCTCCAGGACTTTGGCTTGACTAAAGACCAGCTTTCCTCAAGGTAGCTCCTTCAAACGCAAGAAGACCCCAAGCCGTCTTAGACACCAGGTGTCTAAAACCACCTGTGGCAAAGTGGCAGCGCGTCAGATAAGCAGATGTGACTGCGCAGCCGCGTAGAGCGCGCAGACAGCGGAGAAGTCACATGGCGTGTGGGGCTGGGGGTTCGGGGTCGACTAGCTTGAAACACAGGTTGGCCTTGACACGCCGTGTTCTTTCCATCCCTTCCCCCCCCTCCCTCTCGACAGCCGCGAACACGCTGCGCGGGGCAGCATGAAAGTCCGGGCAACCCCCCCCCGTCAACCCAACATATAGTTCGTTAGCTGACTACCACCAAGAAAACAGAAGCCTTGACCATGTGTAACACTTCTACATTACTACTACTTTTAAGTCAGATTTTCTTGTTAGATACCTTTAACTATTCTTCTATAAATTTTCGTTGCGACCTTGATGCAATGGTTTCGCCTGCTATTGAATGATGCCTACATTTATGGCTTATATACGCTTGATTCAATCAAGCTTTCAATTAACTAGTAAAAGAAAGGTTCGTAACATATACCAACAAGTTCTTACCGTGATAAAATGACAGCGCGTCTACGCCAAGTTTAAATCACAGCGCATCTACATCAAGCTTCGTCGCTACTTGAAGAGCCAAGTTTAAATAACAGACAATATTTGACATTGGGAGGGACAACAGGGCCAGTGTCTTAGTTCATTGTTGCTCTTGATACAGGTAGTTATGTTGACAGTGAATTTGTTGAAACGTAAGAAGTGAATTCTGCTACATGTAACTGATGCTAGAAAAGAAAAATGTTATTTGTAGTTCCTCCATAAAGAAACAAGTACGGTAACTGAAAATTGTCAATAGGTCGCTTACTTCTGTGTGACACTTGCAGACAAAGAGTTGCAAACCAATGATAGTGTTAGTGCTGATTATGATCAAGGTTGTCCCAGTAGTACTACTGATGTTAAAGGTAACGCTGCGGAACAAGTCCGCCGGACCCCTCGACCGCGGGACCGGCGCCGGGTCCCAGGCTGGTCCGAGACCGGGCCCCCAAGCATTTGCAGAGAGCGGAAGACAACATGGCGTCTTGAAACTCCCAGACAAGCATGTGACCACTGGCTAGTCTTGAGATGCTTTTGAGGGTGGTCTCGGGGTTGTGTTCAAGTGGTTGTGAAGAGGGTTGTAAAGTGGGTTTTAAGGTGGTTTTAAAACGGTTTTGAAACGTCTTAAGTTTGCTTTTTTTTTTGCGGTTTACGGTGTGCCCCACGCAGGAGGACGAGGTGAACAACCGTCTGAACGAGCTTGTTTTTGACCCTGCCCCGCAAGCATGGTTGGTTGGACAGGCTGTAATTTCTTACCCGTCCTGATTTTTGTGGAAAACAGGACCGGGTTGGATTTCTGCGAAAAACAGGACGGGTTGGGCGAGCTGCGGTTTCTTGCCTGTCCTGGTTGAGCGGGAAGCAGGACTTGCGCCTCTTACCTCGTCATCCTCAGAAGCGGGGTCGTGTCCACGGGCGCCTTCTATGATAGGAGCAGGAACTGGACGGGCTCTATCCGGCGGGCCACAACTTTCTTCTTTTCCAGCCGGCGCCCCCCACAGAAAAAAGGGGGGAGGGGAAGGCTGGATAAGGTAACACACACACACGCCTATATGTATATATATATATATGAAAACATGCTCACACACGCACACACGCCCTCCAATTGCGCGCTTTCCATCTTTGCAACATCTGCTTCCGTGCGATCCATTTCCGCCAACCCCTTTCTCCAATAGGGGAGGCGCATGGGAAGGGTTTGTCTTCGTCCTTGTCTTGCGCTCATCATCATCATCATCATGACCTGGCTTGACACGCAGGGGGCGCAAACCGACGCTTATCAGATGCGATTCTCACGTAAACTTTAAGATTGCCGCTGGGAGGTAGAGATTGGAAACATCAAAATAATTATTTAGTGAATATTAGCAAATGAAATAGTGAATGGGAATAGTGAATTAAAACAATTGCGGATGGAAATAGTGAATGGGAATAGTGATAGTGAATGGACATACGCCTACATGGCGAGGTGACTAGGAAAAAGCAAAAAAAACACTAAGCTGCATTACATTTCACAAAATTTCACTAAATTTCACTAAAATTCACTAAATTTCACTAAATTTCATTAAATTTTGCAAATCCAATTTAAGGAAAATTAGTGAAAATTACTGAAATTTAGTGAAATTTAGCGAAACTAATTAAATTCAATGAAATTTTAGCAAGAGATTCACTAAATTTCACTAAATTTCACTAAATTTTGCAAATCCAATTTAATGAAAATTAATGAAATTTAGTGAAATTTAGTGAAATTTAATGAAATTTAATGAATTTTAGCGAAACTAATTAAATTCAATGAAATTTTAGAAAGAGATTCACACTAAATTTCACTAAATTTCACTAAATTGGATTTGCGAAAATTAGTGAAATTTAGTGAAATTTAGTGAATCTCTTCCTAAAATTTCATTCAATTTAATTAGTTTCGCTAAATTTCATTAAATTTCATTAAATTTCACTAAATTTCAGTAATTTTCGCTAAATTGGATTTGCGAAATTTAGTGAAATTCAGTGAAATTTAATGAACCTCGTTGAATTTCATAAATTTCATTAAATGTCACTAAAATTGACTAAAATTCACTAAATTTCACTACATTGGGCTTGCGAATCTGCAAATCCATGTTTCCCAATTCAGAATTTTGATTCACGAAATATTTTATTCACTATATTGATTCACAAACTATTTCACTCTATTTCACTAGTTTAATTCAAAACATGTGTTTCAGTGTCTGCCTGGTCCGGCAATCTTAACGTAAACTGTCACGGCGCTCGTGACGCAAAGCGACGAGTATCATGATGGCTGCTGGCGATTCTGCAGACGCATAGTGACGGTTATCATGTTGGGCGTTGGTTTGACTGCGGCTGATGCTGGGGATGCACAGTGATGATTATCATCAGGATGTTGTCACGGCAACTGCTGGTGACGCTGTAGTGATGATTATCATCAGGATTTTTTATCATCATCATCAGTATCACGACCCGGCTTGCTTTGCAAGGGGTGCAAAGTAACGACCAGCATTATGACTGCTGGCGATGCTGTGGATGCATCGCTGGTGATGCTTGGGACGCCTAGTCATGATTATCATCAGGGCCATCACCATCATCATGAGCCG